CTGCAAAAGAATAAGAGAGAGAGGAGCAGAGGAGAGAGCGTGAGAGAACAATCCTAAATCTTATGGGAGCTTCAGAGCCTGAAAGAATAAGAGAGGAGAGAGAGAAGCGAGAGGAGAGAGAGAGAGAACCATCCTAAATCTTTATGGGAGATTTCAGAGCCTGCAAAGAATAAGAGAGAGAGAGAGAGAGAGAGAACCATCCTAAATCTTTATGGGAGATTTCAGAGCCTGCAAAGAATAGAGAGAGAGAGAGAGAGAGAGAGAGAGAGAGAGAGAACCATCCTAAATCTTTATCATAGAACATCTTGACCTGTGCAAAGATGAAGGACGCACGGGGTGACCCGGGAACATGTGCGATGGACATCTGGAAAGACCTGGGGGTGAGGTGGGAAGGCGTCTTGCCTCATGCCTGAGCTATGTCTGCAAAGGATGGGTTTATATCACTTAGGACACACTGTGTGTGTGTGTGTGTGTGTGTGTGTGTGTGTGTGTGTGTGTGTGTGTGAAGGGAGCTTCGTTAATTGCAGGTCGCCCATCAGCCAAGCGCAATGATGACAGAGAGTTCTGGAGGAGGCAGAGAGCAATGGCTGCTTACCCATCATCGCCGTGCTGTATCCTTGCTCCTTGGCCAACTGTGCAAATGTGGTCTCGTTACGCGGGAGTCCAACAGGGGCCGCGAGGGACATGAGGACACGGTAGTTCCCATCGGAAACCATTCCTAAAGGGGATGGAAAAACAAGACCCAGGTGGACACCAGGGGTCGGTAGGTGCTCATCACAGTCCCGCCTGGAGGGTGGGGAGCTCGGAAGGTGGACAGAGGGCGAACGGGGCAGAGGTGTCAAGGTGTGGGGGAGGAGATGGTGTTCTCCAAAGACAAAACTCACACGGGTCCCTAATGCAAAACCCCTTTAAACCCTTGTGCACACACACACACACACACACCCATGACACCTTCAGATACACCCCAACCCACTGTCCCCCACTCCCATAGACAATGGCTGATGGAACATCTAACCTGCACCTGCCCTCAACTGGGGCATCTATGCCTCAGAAAAGAAGTTGAGAAATGAAATCTTGCTGGGCTGGTGTGGCTCAGTGGTTGAGCGTGGACCCATGAACCAGGAGGTCCTGGTTTGATGCCCAGTCAGGACACATGCCCGGGATGTGGGCTCGATCCCCAGTAGAATGTGTGCAAGAGGCAGCCAGTCGTTGATTCTCTCATCATTGATGTTTCTCTCTCTCTCCCTTCTCCTCTCTCTCCAAAAATCAATAAAGATATATTTTTTAAAAAAACAAAATAATTAAATCTTATAAGAACTTCAAACTCTTGTGTTCCTACTAATTTTTTTTTTTTTTACCTGACAATAGAGTCTAGTTCTATTTGTAGGACAGATGTGTAAGCTCACTTCCTGGCCAGAACCTGAAGTTGGGGCATCTCGCGAGAGTAGACACGTTGGTTTTGAACCCCTTATGACTAGAGTTGATGTCCAGTAGGTGGGTGGGGCCAGTCACCCTGAGACTAAAGACTCATCATTCATGGGCAAGGAACGGAAGAAAGCCAAGGAAGTTTTTGAAGGATTCGGGAACAGAAGAACACCCCAAGATTGCCAACAGGGGTCCCTGGTGGGTCGTTGAAACCGGGGAGACTTTGCTCGATTCCAGTGATGCCAGGATCCTGGGTGTATTGCACATTTTTGAGCATTCCTCTCCTATCCGTGTTTCTCTGTGTGTGTGTGTGTCTCTCTCTCTTCCACGCTCTTTAAAGATCAATGAAAAAATGTCCTCAGGTGAGGATTAACACACACAAAAAAAGTCGTCATCTCACCTGGCCAGTGTGGTTCAGCTGTGTTGACAACTGACCCATGAACCAAGTCGTCACCTGTTTGATTCCTGATCAGGGCACATGCCCAGGTTGTGGGCGCAATCCCCAGGAGAGGGAGTGGAGGAGGCAGGCTATCAATGATTCTCTCTCATCGTGGATGCTTCTATCTCCTCTTCCTCTCCCTCCCTCTTTCTCTAGTTCTATATCATAAAAGCCTAATATGCTAAGTATCCTGTCGACCCGTCGGCCGTTCAACCAATCAAAGTGTAATATGTTAAAGATATGCTCAACCGCCCGCTATGACATGCACTGACCACCAGGGCGCAGATGCTCCGACCAGTAGCTTAGCTTGTTGCTGGCGGCCGGCCGATCGGGACTGAGCTAGAAGGGCAGGATACACCCTGGAGCCCTCCCGGGTCCCTCCCTGGCCCCGATCGTGCACCAGGGAGGTCCCTCGGCCTGGCCTGGGCCCTCTCACAATCCGGGACCCCTCAGGGGATGTCAGAGAGTTGGTTTTGGCCCGCTCCTGCAGGCCAGGCCGACGGACCCCACTGGTGCATGAATTCGTGCACTGGGTCTCTAATATATATATACACTAGAGACCCAGTGCATGAAATTCGTGCACTGGGTGGGGGGGTGGTCCCTCAGCCCAGCCTGCACCCTCTTCGCAAGCCAGGACCCCTCAGGGGATGTCCAACTGCCAGTTTAGGCCCAATCCCTGCAGTCGGACTGGCAGTCGGACATCCCTTTCGCAATCTGGGACCTATGGCTCCAAACCGCTGGCCTGCCTGCCTGACCCATCGCCCCTAACTGCCTCTGTCTGCCTGTCTGATCGCCCCTAACCACTCAGTTGCCTGCCTGATCGCCCCTAACCACTCGCCTGCCTGCCTGATCGCCCCTAACCACTCACCTGCCTGTCTGATTACCCCTAACCACTCCCCTGCCTGCCTGATCGCCCCTAACCACTCAGCTGCCTGCCTGATCACCCCTAACCACTCCCCTGCCTGCCTGATCGCCCCTAACCACTCGCCTGCCTGTCTGATCACCCCTAACCACTCACCTGCCTGCCTGATCGCCCCTAACCACTCTACCTGCCTGCCTGATCGCCCCTAACCACTCGCCTGCCTGCCTGATCACCCCTAACCACTCGCCTGCCTGCCTGATCACCCCTAACCACCTCTGCCTCAGCCCCCACTGCCATGGCTTCCTCCGGAAGGACGTCCAGAATGACGTCCGGAAGGTCTTTTTTCTGTCCGGCCTAATTAGCATATTATGCTTTTAATATTATCGATATTCAGGTCACCATTTGAAGGTGAAGACATCCCTTGACCACCCAAGGTGATGTGGGTCACAGAGGAGCCAGGGGATTCAGGTGTTGACCTCCGGAGCCGCCCACCCAAGAAGGGGTGTGTGATTGCACCTTGAAACCTGTCACCGTGGCCAAGCCACAAGGCCCGCGCCCCCTGATTCCGCCACGACAGCGGAGCGGGGCCGGGGGTCCCCCGTTCACACACCTGTTCGGATCGGGTACCTTCCCGTGAGGAAAGCGGACCGGCTTGGGGTGCACATGGAGTCGGCGGCGATGTGCTGGGTCAGCTGGACACCATCTCTGGCTAAGCTGTCGATGTTGGGGGTCCTGGAAAGAGAGATGGAGGGGACACTGAAGAATTGGGGTGGGAGGAGAGAGAGAGAGAGAGAGAGAGAGAGAGAGGGGGGGGCACACAAAGAGAGAGAGACAGGGAGAGGAAAGGAAAGGCGGGAAGGAGAGAGAGGGAGAGGAATAGACAGGGAGACAGGGACAGACTCAGAAATTGCAGGCACACGTACACACACACACACACACACACACACACACACACACACACAGATCTGAAGGTAAAAAATCTGTTTCCCATAATTCCCTGAGCTTGGAAGAGAAGAGAAGGTAACTTTGCATGTAAATCCCATTCTCCTTTTTGTTTGGGAAATGTTGTTTTTTGTAAGACTGGTATAATTTTGTACTGCCAATTAAATATATATATATAGATAGATAGATAGATAGATAGATAGATAGATAGATAGATATAGATAGATATAGATAGATATAGATATAGATGTAGATGTAGATGTAGATATAGAGATAGAGATAGAGATAGAGATAGAGAGATAGAGAGATATAGAGATATAGTTATATAGATAGATAGATAGATAGATAGATAGATAGAGATATAGATATAGATGTAGATGTAGATATAGAGATAGAGATAGATATAGATATTATGATATATATTATATAATTTATATTATATATAACACTAGAGGCCCGGTGCACGAATTTGTGCGTGGGTAGGGTCCCTTGGCCTGCCCAGCGATCAGGGCTGCTGGCTGGGGGGAGGGGCTGCGGGAGGTTGGCTGTGGGAGCGCACTGACCACTAGGGGGCAGCTCCGGCATCGAGCGTCTGCCCCCTGGTGGTCGGTGTGCTCATGGCTACCAGTCGAACTGTCGTTCGGTCATCCAGTCATTCGGTAGTTCAGTCACTTAGCCTTTTATATATATATAGAGATAATATGTTATATTATCTATATATATTTAAGTGTCTTTGGCTTAGAGACCTTAGATTAAGTGTCTTTGGCTTAGAGGCCATATATGTGTATATATATATACACACACATACATATATATATACATATATATATATATATTTAAGTATATTTGGCTTAGAGACATTAGATATATATATACATATAGTTATATTAGTTATAGTTATAGTTATATATAAAGATTTTTAAATATTTTTTTATTGATTTCAGAGAGGAAGGGAGAGAGAGAGATAGAAACATCAATGATGAGAGAGAATCATGGATCGGCTGCCTCCTGCACGCCCCCGACTGGGGATTGAGCCTGAAACCCAGCATGTGCCCTTGATTGGAATCGAACCTGGGACCCTTCATTCCACATGTCAATGCTCTATCCACTGAGCCAAAATGGCCAGAAATAGATAGATAGATAGATAGATAGATAGATAGATAGATAGATAGAGATAGATAGATAGATAGATAGATAGATAGATAGATAGATATAGATAGATAGATGATAGATAGATAGATAGATAGATAGATAGATAGATAGATATAGATAGATAGGTAGATATATAGGTATATAGTCTCTAAATCAAAGACACTTAAGTATATGTGTGTGTGTGTGCATATATAAAGATATATATATATTATATATCTTATATATAATATATAGAGAGAGATATATATAGATATATATGTCTTTAGATTAGACATCTTTGCTATACACACACATATACATATATATACATACTAGAGTCCCAGTGTACAAAAATTTGTGCACTCAAGGCGGTCCCTCAGCCTGGCCTGTGCCCTCTCACAGTCCGGGACCCCTTGGGGGGATGTCCACCTGCTGGCTTAGGCCTGCTTCCTGAGGGATTGGGCCTAAGATGGCAATCAGACATCCCTCTGGCAGCCCGGAAGCCCTCGGGGGATGTCCATTTGCCAGCGGGGAGCAGGCCTAAACTGCAGTCGGACATCCTTTCTCATCATGGATGTTTTTCTCTCTCTCTCTCCCTCTCCCTTCTTTTCTGAAATTAATAAAACTATATTTTAAAAATAGGTTTTTTTAAAAAAAATAACACTCACAGACAACAGTATGGTGATTATAGGAGGGAATGGGGTTGGCGGAGACAGAAGAGGGGAAAGGGAGGATATAGAGTGGTAGAAGGAGACTGGACTTGGGGTGATGAACAGACACTATGATAAACAGATGGTGTTTTATAGGGTTGTAGACCTGGAACCTATGTCATTTTCTTAACCAGCTAGTGGCCCTGCGCACGAATTCGTGCACGAGTAGCTCAATGCTGCTTGCTTCCGCCCACAGCTCGCTGGCCGTCCGGCCCACCTCTGCCCACAGCTCGCTGGCCCCCCCTTCTGTAGCTCTCCATGGCTCATAGCTCACTGACCCACCCTCCTGCTAACTGGTCGTTACACGTTACGGCCATTTGCATATTACCTCTTTATTATATAGGATGTCACCCAATAATGTTTCTTAATACATATAAGCATCACCACTCTACATCTGTGGTCAGCAAACGGCGGCTCGCGAGCCACATGCGGCTCTTTGGCCGCTTGAGTGTGGCTCTTCCGCAAAATACGCACGCGTACAGTGCGAAATTGACTTAAAACTTGAAGTTTATGAAGCTCATTTTAGGGAACGTTGTGGGGTAAGAGAAGATGTAGTGTCGAGGATGGAGAAAGGTATGTTGAGATGGTTTGGACGTAGAGAGAGGATGAACGAAAGGAGATGGATGAAACAAGTCTACAAGACGCGTGTGGATGGGAGAGTTGGAAGGGGTCAACCTCAGCGAACGTACCTCAATCAGATGGAGGATGTTTTTGGCAAACGCCAGCTTAGGAGCGCCCTAATTAAGTGAATCACAGTGTACCTACCTATAGAGTGTAAGTTTAAAAAACTTGGCTCTCAAAAGAAATTTCAGTCGTCATACTGTTGATATTTGGCTCTGTTGACTAATGAGCTTGCCGACCACTGGTCTACATGACAGAAGGTTCCCTACAAGACAGGTGGCTAAGTGGGTGCTCTTCACGAAGGAACTCACGGGTCCATTACTATTCACTCAACAGATAATAAGAAGATTAAGGCAATCAACTGGTATAAATACAGATGTAACAAGACAATAAAACACAGAACCTGGCTGGAGATCCTGGCTAGAGAACCTGGCTAGGCTGCTGATCAACTGAAAAAGAAGAAGAAGAAGAAGAAGAAGAAGAAGAAGAAGAAGAAGAAGAAGAAGAAGAAGAAGGAGATGATTAAGGCACCATAGGTGAGGCAACTTGTCCGAGGTTGCACAACCGTGAGTCCAGAATCAAGACTCAAATCCACATGCATCTAATATGACCTCGTTCTCAAAGACGAAGCCAACAAAATAACGTTGCCGTTGCAGGGAGAAGCGGTCATGAGAGGCATCCACCCTCCCAGCCTCGAGGACACACCTGATGGTGTCGTTTCCATAGCAGCCCAGGTCTCCGATCCCATAATCGTCGGCCATTATCAGGACGATATTCGGCTTGTCATCGTCCGCCCTTTGCGACCGGCCCACGGTGAGGAGTAACCACATCCAAGACAGGGACGCCCAGCGCCTCCTGAAAAACAAGCACGGGTTGTACTGGAAACACCCTTTTCTGGATGGTTTCAGGGTCCATGTTCCACGCCGACGTCACCTTCTGTGAAGGCAACAGGGTAGGTTGGACGCCAGGCACATGTCCCGGGACAGGGCCTACGGGCTTCTCTCTCCAAGTCCATGCCGCTCATGGCTGTTGAACGGTACCCACCCTGCTCAGGGGCCGGCCATCCTGGGTTCTCAACACGCTCAAACTCATTGCTGTTCTAGGAGGTGGAATCCGAAATCGTAAATTTGCTCGGAGACGAAGCATTTACTCCTCGGGTGAGAGGCGCTAAGTCGTAGGAGGTGGTGTTGGTGGTTATGTTGCTGACTTATGCTTATGATTTCCTGCTTTCTGACATGTGGTTATGGTGACATTCCACAGACTAATGCAATTATGCTCCTGGTTAATTTGTTGCCTCATGGTTAAGGTCACATGGCTAAGACGTATGTGGTTATGTTACTGGTTGTGTTGCTGACTCCCCTCACGTGAAAATGTAATTGTCTGTGGGTATACCAGCTTTGCTGGAAAAAAATAATTTGGTAGACCAGAAACACAAAGAAAAAGGCACCCCAAAATAAAGGAAAGGGGGAGCATGGAAGAAAACTGAATCCTGGAATCTGGACACGGATTTAGTCCGCTTCCTAATTGTGTTCAGTCCCAGCTCAAGTCCTGATTTCTAAGAAATATATCATACTAGAGGCCCGGTGCACGAATTCATGCACCAGTGGGGTTCTTAGGCCTGGCCTGCGGGATCGGGCCAAAACTGGCTCTCCGACATCCCCCAAAGGGTCCCAGATTGCGAGAGGGCGCAGGCCACGCCGATCAGGGCTGGGGAGGGACGCGGGAGGGTGGCCAGCTGGGGAGGGACCACGGGAAGGCTCCAGGGCGTGTCCGGCCTGTCTTGCTCAGTCCAGATCGGCCGGACCCCAGCAGCAAGCTCACCCACCAGTCGGAACATCTGCCCCCTGGTGGTCAGTGCATGTCATAGTGAGCGGTTGAGTGGCCTTAGCATATCATTAGCATATTACCCTTTGATTGCTTTAATGGCAGCCAGTCGACTGGACACTTAGCATATTAGGCTTTTATTATATAGGTTTTCTCTCCCTATTGGGTCTCTACCAGATATCAGGTCATGGATATTGGAACCACTGGTTCCATCTCTATGCTGTCTTTATTCATAATGTAAAACCATCGTTAAATATTTACTCTGGGAAGGAGGGTAGAAAGATTCCCTGACCCCATCTGTTCCCAGACCCTTTATAAATCCTCTGATACAACTATTGACTCAATATTGAAACTCTGCTTTTCCCAAACTTTCCACCCCTTAAAACTGTTAACAAGAAGTCTACGGCCAGGACTTTGTCTATGGACAAACCATGATAATTACAGAAACGCTTTCATCTTCACCAAAATGATTGCATTGTTTCTCTCAATTCCTGTTTGTACAACATCTCAAAATAATACAGACCCTGGCCAGGTAGCTCAGGTGGTTAGAGCATCGTCCTGATATGACAAGGCAGCGAGTTCGATCCCTGGTCAGGGCACACACAAGAATCACCCAATGAGTGCATGAGTAAGTGGAACCACAAATCTCTCTCTCTCTCTCTCTCTCTCTCTCTCTCTCTCTCTCTCTCTCATCAATCAATAAATATAAAATAAAATAAGTGTGTTGGAAATTGGCCATTTCTATTTGTTTCAATTGTCTACATCTCTCCTACTTCCTTTTTTCATTATGGACTTACTGAACCCGGAAGATCAATGTAGACATTTGACAGCTAACCACATAAGGAATGCACAATAGTGCACGCCTCTAGCTATCGAGCTGACTTCACAAATCCCACAAAATTACCCATCAGCATCAGTGCGTTTGCCCGGTGGCTTATTACTTCCCGTACCTGAGCGTCATCTCGGAGATCTGAGTACCTCCTTATTTTCTTTGGCCCAAGATCGAAGCTCCTGGAAAGAAAAGTCTGTCATCTTTGGGTTGCTTAAGTCAGCTCCCGTTTGGAAATGCTCCCTGAACTTGGGGATCCTATCTCTACTTCCAGCAATTAAAAACTGGTTTTCTGACACTCTCATGGCATAAGCCCCAAGCTCTCAATTACTTGTATCTCTTGGCCCATTAAGGAAGAGCTTGAGCTGTGCCAAGTTCTGGGGCCATCCAGGTCCTTTGTGGGGTGTGCGTTACTTGGCTCCGTCCCTAAACCTACCCTCAGACAGGCCTCGTGAGCACATAACCTCAAGAAGAAGCAGAACCTCAGAGTTTAATCTCACCACATCTACGTGGAATGAACTCAGATCCCCTGAAAAGACGCGATGTCTTTATCTCCTTCTGTGGTTGGCCATTAGTCCAAAGGGAGACCATGAATTAGCGATTTTAGGAAAGCTAAGAGTTGTACACACTTGGGGGGTGCGCTGTGATGACCAAGGGACATGATACCAAAAGTCATTGCCGTGAAAGAAAAGGAACAAAAAACCGAAATTCCATCGGTAAGTCACGACCCGTGTTTGAACCTTTAAATTCAACTAGGTACTTCATGCTAATCGCCTCCTTCAAACATCCATCCTAAGAACCCCGAAACAGCCATCAGAAAGAATATGTGCACCCCTGTGTTCATAGCTGCACGATTTACAATCGCTAAGATCTGGAAACAGCCCAAGTGCCCATCAGCAGACGAGTGGATAAAACAGCTGGGGTCCGTCGACACCGTGGAATACTACGCAGCCCTGAAAAAGGAGGGGGGTCTCGTATCCTTTGGGACAGCACGGAGGGACCCGGAGAGCATGATGCTAAGTGACATAAGCCAGTCAGAGAAAGACACGTATCCCTTGATCTCACTCCTACGTGGAATCCTATCAACAATATAAACTGACAAAAAAAATAATAGGATCAGAGACTTGGATACAAGTCTGAAACACATTGACGAATCTCAAAAGGAAGGGAGTGGGTGAGGGGATGGGAAGAGATGAACCAAAGAATTGATGTGCACATATGGGTAGCGTGTGGACAAGATCTGAGAAGGAGTTGGGGCTAGGTGAAGGGGGACAGAGGTAAGGCAATGGGAGACATCTATAATACTGTAGTGTCAACAGCAGCCTGACTGCAGTGGCTCAACCAGGAGGTCATGGTTCGATTCCTAGTCAGGGTAGGTGCCCGTGTTGCAGGCTCCATCTCCAGTAGGGGCTGTGCAGGAGGCAACCGATCCATGATTCTTTCTCATCATGGATGTTTCTTTCTCTCACTGTCTCTCTCCCTTCCTCTCTGAAATCAATAAAAATGTATTTTTTTAAAAGAGAGTGTCAAAAACGTCTCTAGCCACATCTACTCAAGTATCTACTCATACATCTATTCATATACCTATTCATACATCTACTCATACATCTATTCATACATGTACTTATATATGTATTCATACATCCACTCATATATCTACTCATACATCTATTCATACATCTATTCATACATCTACTCATACATTTACTCATATATCTACTCATACATATATTCATATATGTACTCATAAATCTATTCATATATGTACTCATATATATCTACTCATACATATACTCATACATCTCATATATCTATTCATATATATACTCATACATCTATTCATACATCTATTCATACATCTACTCATACATCTATTCATACATCTACTCATACATCTGTTCATATATCTGTTCATACACCTATTCACACACCTATTCATACATCTACTCATACATCTATTCAAACATCTACTCATACATCTATTCATACATCTACTCATACATCTATTCATACATGTACTCATACATCTATTCATACATGTACTCATGCATCTATTCATATATGTGCTCATATATCTATTCATACATCTGTTCATATATCTACTCATACATATACTCATACATCTATTCATACATCTATTCATACATCTACTCATACATCTACTCATACATCTATTCATGCATCTACTCATACATCTATTCATACATCTGTTCATACATCTATTCATACATCTATTCATACATCTACTCATACATACATTCATACATCTACTCATACATCTATTCATACATCTACTCATACATCTATTCATACATGTACTCATACATCTATTCATACATGTACTCATACATCTATTCATATATGTGCTCATATATCTATTCATACATCTGTTCATATATCTACTCATACATATACTCATACATCTATTCATACATCTATTCATACATCTACTCATACATGTATTCATGCATCTACTCATACATCTATTCATACATCTGTTCATACATCTATTCATACATCTATTCGTACACCTACTCATACATATATTCATACATCTACTCATACATCTATTCATACATCTATTCGTACATCTACTCATACATATATTCATACATCTACTCATACATCTATTCATACATCTGTTCATACATCTACTCATACATCTATTCAAACATCTACTCATACATCTATTCATACATCTACTCATACATCTGTTCATATATCCGTTCATACACCTATTCATACACCTATTCATACATCTACTCATACATCTATTCATACATGTACTCATACATCTATTCATATATGTGCTCATATATCTATTCATACATCTGTTCATACATCTACTCATACATCTACTCATGCATCTATTCATACATCTACTCATACATCTATTCATACATGTACTCATACATCTATTCATACATGTACTCATACATCTATTCATATATCTACTCACATATCTGCTCATACATCTACTCATACATCTATTCATGCATCTATTCATGCATCTATTCATATATCTATTCATACATCTACTCATATATCTACTCACATAACTACTCATACATCTGTTCATACATCTATTCATACATCTACTCATACATCTACTCATATATCTACTCATACATCTATTCGTACATATACTCATACATCTATTCATATATCTACTCACATATCTGCTCATACATCTACTCATACATCTTGCTCTTGTGAGCCCTGGCAGTGGTTTAAACTTTTATTTCAGAGGCAGCAATTATCCGGAATTCACACACTGCCAGTCACACACCAGTGATCTTGGTTGGTTCCCATGAATGGTCATGGTTGCTACTTGTTTTTCCTTTTACGACACTTTAAATAAATTCCCATCTTCAAATTTAAATGCACCTAAACTAAGTGAGGAGACCCCAATAAAAGCAAGACCCCAGCCCAGCCCCATGCCCAATCTCTCCCTCTCTTTTCTCTTGTGTCTCTCTCTGTCTCTGTGTCTCTCTCTCTCTCTCGCTCTCTCTCTCTCTCTCTCTCTCTCTCTCTCTCTATCTCTTCTCTCTCTGTCTGCTGGTAAGCTTACTGTGTACCCTAAGGTGCATTGCCTCAATTTCCAGGTCCCATGAAGAATGAAGAATAATCAACCTTCATTCTATCAAAATTTCCTGATGGGTATCACGGAAGGGTGTCTTACCGTCACCATCAGAACCCCAAGGGCCAGTCCCAACACAAGATCAGGCATGGATAGACTTGACTGGATAGGCTGAGCTCGGCACAAAACACCTTCCCCGGCTCACCTGTCCGACTCACCTGCCCGCCTCACCTGTCCGTGGTGGTGTCTCCCTGATTCTGGGACATGGGACTCTCCTGGCTGCCACCTGTCCCCAAACCGCAGCCTGTGTGGAATTCCGCCGTGTCCCCCTGGGGAGGCTGGTCCACGCAGGTAGAATGAGCTCACCCAGGACTCACCTTTGGGATATGCAAATGAGGCCGTCCGCTCCCCCTGATTTGCATGTCCTGAAAATCCAGGTTACAAAAAAAAAAAAAAAGGAAATCCTTCAGTGAAACATCTGCAGACTTGCTCACCCTGGCTGACTGCTCTCACCTGTGTGCCCACCAGCAAATGATTCATCCAGTGCAAGGAAGTGAAGGCTGGAGTCCTACCTGAGGCAAGGGATGAGATTCTCGTCCCCGAGAATCTGAGGACTCAGGGTGACCTCGGCCCCGAACTAAAGGAGCTAAAATAGCCCGGCCAGTGTGGCTCAGTGGTTGAGCGTCGACCTTAGAACCAGGAGGTCACCCTTGGATTCCCGGCCAAGGGCACGTGCCCGGGTTGTGGGCTCCATCCCCAGTGGGGGGCGTGCAGGAGGCGGCCGATCCATGATCCTCGCTCATCATGGATGTTTCTCTCTCTCTCTCTCTCCCTTCCTCTCTCTGAAATCAATAAAAAATATTTTTTAAAAAAAAAACAAAGAAAAAAATTAAAACAAAAAATAAAATTAGAAGAGGAGAGAAAATACATCCTCTCTTCCAGAATTACATCTGAATTGTGTCCAGCAAGATGGAGGATGCGGACGAATTTAAGGGCTTAGGGAGGGATATGCTACTTGTCAACACCATGCTTGTACTAAAGAAGGAACAAATGCCTGGCTGGGTGGCTCAATGGTTGAGCGTTGACCCATGAACCAGGAGGTCATGGTTCGATTCCAGTCAAGGGCACATGCCCGGGTTCCAGGCTCGATGCCCAGTAGGCAGAGAGCAGGAGGCAGCCGATCCATGATTCTCTCTCATCATGGATGTTTCTCTCTCTCCCTCTCTCTCTCTCTCTCTCTCTCTCTCTCTCTCTCTCTCTCTCTCTCTCTCTCCTTTCCTCTCTGAAATCAGTCTTGGATGGTGACACCAAAGATACAGGTGCCTCCCCAGGTGGACTTACCTGGAAGAGAACTTTGCGTTGGAGTTCTATAGACACATGGAAAGAACATGTCAAGTTTCAAGGACATTCTTCAGAGTGAGACTTACAAAGGTATATGACTTTTTAAAAATATATATATATATTTTTGTTGGTTTCAGAGAGGAAGGGAGAGGGAGAGAGAGAGAGAGACATCCATGAGGAGAGAGAATCATGGATCAGCTGCCTCCTGCGTGCCCCCTACTGGGGAATCGAGCCCACAACCTGGCTTGTGCCCTGACCAGGAAGAGAAGCTGGGACCTCTAGGTCCATGGGATGATGCTCAATCCACTGACCTACACCAGCAAGGCAGAATGGTTATCTATACTAATAAAAGGGTAATATGCTAATGAGACCAGATGTCTTCCGGACATCCTTCAGGACAAAGCCATGGTGGCGGGGGCCGAGGCAGAGGTGGTTAGGGGCGATCAGGTCGGCAGGGGAGAGCAGTTAGGGCCGATCAGGCCGGCAGGGGAGAGCAGTTAGGGGCGATCAGGCCAGCAGGGGAGAATGTTTAGGGACGATCAGGCCGGCAGGGGAGAGTGGTTAGGTGCGATCAGGCTGGCAGCGGAGGGTGGTTGGGGTGATCAGGCCGGCAGGGGAGAGCAGGCTGGCAGGGGAGAGCAGTTAGGGGCAATCAGGCTGGCAGGGGAGAGCAGTTAGGGGCGATCAGGCTGGCAGTGGAGGGTGGTTAGGGGTGATCAGGCTGGCAGTGGAGGGTGGATAGGGGTGATCAGGCCAGCAGGGGAGAGCGGTTAGGGGCGATCAGGCTGGCAGGGGAGAGCAGTTAGGGGCGATCAGGCTGGCAGTGGAGGGTGGTTAAGGGTGGTCAGGCTGGCAGTGGAGGGTGGATAGGGGTGATCAGGCTGGCAGTGGAGGGTGGTTAGGGGTGGTCAGGCTGGCAGTGGAGGGTGGATAGGGGTGATCAGGCTGGCAGGGGAGAGCAGTTAGGGGCGATCAGGCCAGCAGTGGAGGGTGGATAGGGGTGATCAGTCCGGCAGGGGAGAGCAGTTAGGGGTGATCAGGCCAGCAGGAAAGAGTGGTTAGGAGTGATCAGGCCGGCCACAGGTGAGCAGTTAGGAGCCAGCGGTCCCGGATTGCAAGAGGGATGTCGGAGGGGTCCCAGATTGGAGAGGGTGCAGGCTGTGCTGAGGGACCCCCTCCCCCCCATGCACGAATTTCGTGCACCAGGCCTCTAGTTATTGACAAATCAACAAACAGCAAGTGCTGATGAGGATGTGGAGAAAAGGGGACCCTTGTGCACTGCTGGGGGGAATGCAGACGGGGGCAGCCACTGTGGAAATGACTTTGGAAGATAAATATCCCAGCTAGGATGGCTCCGCGGACTTCAGCCTAGGAACCAGGAGGTCATGGTACGATTCACGGTCAGGGAACATGCTTCGGTTGCAGGCTCGCCTCCCAGTGGGGGGGCGTGCAGGAGGCAGCCGATCCATGAGTCTCTCTCCCATTGATGTTGCAAAGGGGCGTCCCAAAATCCACGCAAGAAGTAATTTTGATAGAAAACACGGGTTTATCATTAAAAATTCTAAATGTTTTATAGATTCATAAAGGACACAGTCTAGGGTTTATGGATGGAATAGCATGTCGGGGCCATGGCCTCCCCGGCTCTGCTGGCACAGACGCAAAGCCGTGGTCTTCATTGGTCTTCATTGTCCCTGCTCCTGGGCCATCATTGGTGCTTGGTGATGCTGATCAAATCGAAGGGATTGACATCCAAGGGCAACCGATATTAGAATCTGATTCAATCAACCAAGTCAAATTAGGCTTTTGTTTTCTGTTGTCAATGCTCACGCAAATTTCCAATCTTGCGTGAATTTTGGGACACCCTCTATCTCTCTCTCTCTCCGTCTCTGAAATCAATAAAAATACATATATTTTAAAGAAAAATAACTTGCATTTTAGCTCCCAGCCCAAGAAGGCTACGCGGGGACTCACACACCTGGTGGTGGGTATGCCCTGGCTTGTGTTGGACACAAACACATTTGGGGCAAAGAGAGAGAGGATTATGAACGCAATATGAGAGCGGGGATGAGAGGAGGTGTGGGCAGGGAACACCAGGTGCTCTTTGTTGCAAAACCGCCACATTCGCCTCCAAAAAGAGACATTGGGCAACGACGCAAAGGGATAATCCCTCAAAGGAGACATGCTTGAGGCCAGGGATCCCTCAAGGGAACTTCCAGAGACCATCTGGGTGTCCCGTGGTCCGTAGAAGCTTTGATTCCTTCTAAATCAGCGGTTCTCAACCCGTGGGTCGCGAGCCCTTTGGCGGTCGAACGACCCTTTCACAGGGGTCGCCTAAGACCATCCTGCAGATCAGATATTTCCATGACGATTCCTAACAGCAGCAACATGACAGTGACGAAGTAGCAACGAGAATAATTTTACGGTTGGGTCACAACATGAGGAACTGTACGGAAAGGGCCAGAAGGTTGGGAACCACTGTTCTAAACGCTCGAGATGCCTGATGAGCTGGCTGAGTCAGGACATGCTCACGGGTAAGGATTGGCTTTGAGGCGTAGTCATGGTTTCATACGAAGGAGTCGGTTCAAGGAAGTCTGTACCTACCCAAGTGAGACACTCAACCCAACTTCCTGTAGGCCTGGCTCTCAAACAGTCATTCAAGGACGACTACATCCAACCCAACTTCTATAGTCTTGGCTTTCATACTAATAGTCATTCAAGGACATCTACACCCACCCAAGAGACACACTCAACCCAACTTCCTATAGTCTTGGCTCTCAGATAGTCATTTAGGGACGTCTATACCCACCCAAGTGAGACACTCAACCCAACTTCCTGTAGGCCTGGCTTCCATACCAACAATTAGTTCAAGGTCATATACACCCGCCCAAGTGGGATCTCAATGCAACTTCCTGGAGTCCTGGCTTTCATACCCAATAATTCAAAGGCATCTACACCCACCCAAGTGAAACACTCAACCCAACTTCCTGTAGCCCTGGCTTTCCTACCAACAGTCAGTTCAATGACGTCTACCAACAGCCATTCAAGGATGTCTACATCCAACCCAACTTCTATAGTCTTGGCTTTCATACTAATAGTCATTCAAGGGCATCTGTACCCACTCAAGAGACACACTCAAGCCAACTTCCTGTAGTCCCATCTTCTATACCAACAACCAGTTCAAGGGAAACTGTACCCATCCAAGTGACACACTCAACCCAACTCCCTGTAGTCCTGGCTCTCAGGTAGTCATTCAAGGACGTCTATACCCACCCAAGTGAGACACTCAACCCAACTCCCTGTAGGCCTGGCTTTCATACCAACAATTAGTTCAAGGTAGTCTACAGCCACCCAAGTGGGATCTCAACCCAACTTCCTGTAGCCCTGGCTTTCCTACCAACAGTCAGTTCAATGACGTCGATCAACAGCCATTCAAGGATGTCTACATCCAACCCAACTTCTATAGTCTTGGCTTTCATACTAATAGTCATTCAAGGACATCTATACCCACTCAAGTGACACACTCAACCCAACTTCCTGGAGTCCTGGCTTCCATACTAACAGTCATTCAAGGATGTCTATACCCACCCAAGTGAAACACTCAACCCAACTTCCTGTAACCCTGGCTTTCATACCAACAATCAGTTCAATGACGTCTACCAACAGCCATTCAAGGATGTCTACATCCAACCCAACTTCCTGTAGTCTTGGCTTCCATACCAACAATTAGTTCAAGGTCGTATACACCCACCCAAGTGGGCTCTCAACCCAACTCCCAGTAGTCCTGGCTTTCATACCAACAGTCAGTTTAAGGATGTGTATACCCACCAAAGTGACACACTCAAGCCAACTTCCTGTAGTCCCAGCTTCCACGCCAACAGTCATTCAAGAACGTCTACACCCACCCAAGTGACACACTCATGCTAACTTACTGGAGTCCTGGCTTTCATACCAACAATCAGTTCAATGACATCTACCAACAGCCATTCAAGGATGTCTACATCCAACCCAACTTCCTGTAGTCTTGGTTTCCATACCAACAATTAGTTCAAGGTCATATACACCGACCCAAGTGGGCTCTCAACCCAACTCCCAGTAGTCCTGGCTTTCATACCAACAGTCAATTTAAGAATGTGTATACCCACCCAAGTGACACACTCAACCCAACTTCCTATAGTCTTGGCTTCCATACCAACAATTTGTTCAAGGTCGTATACACCCACCCAAGTGACACACTCATGCTAACTTACTGGAATCCTAGCTTTCATACCAATAGTCAGTTTAAGGATGTCTACATCCACCCAAGAGACACACTCAAGCCAACTTCCTGTAGTCCCATCTTCTATACCAACAGCCAGTTCAAGGGAAACTGTACCCATCCAAGTGACACACTCAACCCAACTTCCTGAAGTCCTGGCTTCCATACTAACGGTCATTCAAGGATGTCTACATGCACCCAAGTGAAACACTCAACCCAACTTCCTGTAACCCTGGCTTTCATACCAACAATCAGTTCAATGACGTCTACCAACAGCCATTCAAGGATGTCTACATCCAACCCAACTTCCTGTAGTCTTGGCTTCCATACCAACAATTAGTTCAAGGTCGTATACACCCACCCAAGTGGGCTCTCAACCCAACTCCCTGTAGTACTGGCTTTCATGGCAACAGTCAGTTTAAGGATGTCTACATCCACCCAAGAGACACATTCAAGCCAACTTCCTGTGGTCCCGGCTTCCACACCAACAGCCAGTTCAAGGGCGACTGGTCCCACCCAAGTGACACACTCAACCCAACTCCCTGTAGTCCCGGCTTCCATATCAACACTCATTCAAGGACGTCTACACCCATCCAAGTGGGGTCTCAACCCAACTTCCTGGAGGTCTGGCTTTCCTACCAACAGTCATTCAAGGATGTCTACACCCACCCAAGTGACACACTCAACCCAACTTTCTATAGTCTTGGCTCTCAGACAGTCATTCAAGGATGACTGTACCCACCCAAGTAAGACACCCAACTTCATATAGTCCTGGCTTTCATACCAACAGTCAGTCAAGAACGTCTCCACCCGCCCCAAGTGACACACACTCAACCCAACTTCCTGGAGTCCCCGTTTGAATGGCTACAGTCAGTTCAAGGACAACTGTACCCACCCAGGTAAGACACTCAGCTTCCTGTAGTCCTGGTTTTCATACCCAGTAGTTCAACCTACACAACTTCCTGCTCTTCTGGCTTCCATAGGAAAGTCAGTTCAATATTTTTTTTTATTGATTTCAGAGAGGAAGGGAGAGGGAGGGAGAGAGAAGCACCCACGATGAGAGAGAATCATGAATCAGCTGCCACCTGCACACCCCCCACACACACACTTGGGATGTGCCCGCAACCAAGGTGCATGCCCTTGACAGGAATCGAACCCGGGACCCTTCAGTCCACAGGCCGATGCTCTGTCCACTGAGCCCCACCGGCCAGGGCTGTCATGTCATTCTCTTGCATGACCTTGGGGGAAACTCAGATGCAGATAAGGGAGGCCAGATGGATTTCTGGACGGTGAGCTGCAAGGGAGGTCTGAGCTGGGGACCTGGGCAGGGGGGCTTTCTTCCCGGGAGCTCCGAGCGAGGATCTGTCCCACCTCTCTCTCTCTCTCCCAGGTTCCTGCGGTTTCCTTGGCCATCCTTGGCGATGGCTGCCTGGCCCGTAGGCACCTCAGGCCACCCCCGCCTCCCTCTCCATCTGGCCTTCTCCCTCCTTTCTTTCCCCACGCCTGTGTCCAAATGGACCCCGAGGACAGGGACACCGGTCATACGGGATTGTAGGGAAAGACTCTCGGGTCAACCCTCAGGCTGACCTGAGACAAGTCCCAGCCTGGAGTCCCAGCCCAGAGCTCTCCTGGCACGATGCAGCCTGACCTTGTAGGTCTCCCGAATTCCCTCCTACGTAGCGAATGGGCTGTGGGAGGTGCCGCCAGTGCTGCCAACACAAGCACATCTGCAGACGTGTTCATCGTACCCCTGTTTTAATCGGACGATAACGTGCAGGCTGGGTCTTTGGTGTCCTCATCCAGGCACGGGAGATCCACCCAGCCCCAGCTGTATTCTCTCTGTCGGTCTTTTCTCGCACCCCTCACTGGCCCCTCCTCAGGCTCACCCTTGGCCGTGCTGGCGCAGGACATGGGGTTCAGGTGGCAACCGGTGTCCTGGGAGCGGATCCTGGCCGGGTCACAGGTGCAAGAGAACGCCGTTTCAAAATGAGGTCAGATTGTGGTACGCGGTTCGGGGACGGGGTTAAGGTCCCACGGCTCCTATTCAAATAGCTTGCAAAGGGTTGAGCTGTTTTAAATAGCTTCGTCTTCATAGTTTTGTTGTTGTTCATCGCGACCTGAGGATATTGTTCCTGTTGATTTCACGTACAGTGGGAGGGAGAGAGAGAGAGAGAGAGAGAGAGATCAATGATGAGAGAATCATGGATCGGCCGCCCCCTGCACACCCCACCCACACTGGGGATTGAGCCCACATCCCAGGCATGTGCCCTTGACTGGAATCGAACCTGGACCCTCCAGTCTGCAGACCGACACTATCCACTGAGCCACACCGGCTATGGCTTGTTTGCTTCTGTTTCAAAGACACTTTTTTAAAAAATATATATATATATTTGTATTGATTTCAGAGAGGAAGGGAGAGGGGGGGAGAGAGAGAGAAACATCCATGATGAGAAAGAATCATGGATCGGCTGCCTCCTGCACGCCCCCTGCTGGGGATCAAGCTTGCAACCCAGGTTGTGCCCTTGACCAGGAATCGAACCCAGGACCCTTCAGCCCACAGGCCGACGCTCTATCCACTGAGCCACACCCGCTAGGGCCCAAGGACACTTTCCATTCAACATCAATTTTTTTTTTTTTTAGTTACAGGTGTCTGTGGAAAAAAAATAGGTTTCCAGTTTCTTTCTTTTGAACAAAAACGCAGATGAGATATCTCAAATTGCTGGTGACGGGATTTCCTGGGAACTCTTTACAGACACCAGCCCGACAGCATGGTATCTGCAGCCACCAGTATGAACGCTATGACATCATGGCCCAGGCCCCCCCCTTCTCATTCCGGAGAAATCTTTCCGTGCTTTGGCATCCACGGATCAGAGAAGCGATGATGCCTTTTAAACTCGTGCCGCGGCCTTATCGTCTGGATCAGTTCAGGCTCTTACTTCAATGCCGTGGAACCCATTTTTCCTTTTACGAAAATGGGGGCGATGAGACCTGCCTCCCCTACTTTGGTGGAGTGTTTAAAAACAAACAAACAAACCAAAAAAAACCCCCCCAAAAACAGCGCTGGCTGGTTTGGCTCAGTGATTCAGCATCAACCTATGAACCAGGAGGTCCAGTGCACAAAATTTGGGCATGGAGGAGGCGGGGGTCCTCAGCCGGGACTGCACCCTCTTGCAATCGGGGACCTCTCAGGGGATCGGGCCTAAAATGGCAGTTGGACACCCATCTCATAATCCAGGACTGCTGGCTCCTAACCTCTGGCCTGCCTGCCTGCCTGATTGCCCCTACTGCTCACCTGCCTGCCTGATCACCCCTAACTGCTCACCTGCCTGCCTGATCGTCCCTAACCACTCACCTGCCTGCCCGATCACCCCTAACCACTCACCTGCTGGACTGATCACCCCTAACCACTCACCTGCCTGCCTGATCCCCCCTAACCACTCGCCTGCCTGATCGTCCCTAACCACTCACCTGCCTGATACCCCTAACTGCTCACCTGCCTGCCTGATCACCCCTAACCAGTCACCTGCCTGCCTGATCACCCCTAACCACTCACCTGCCTGCCTGATCACCCCTAACCACTTGCCTGCCTGATCACCCCTAACTGCTCACCTGCCTGCCTGATCACCCCTAACCACTCACCTGCCTGATCACCCCTAACCACTCACCTGCCTGATACCCCTAACTGCTCACCTGCCTGCCTGATCACCCCTAACCACTCACCTGCCTGATCACCCCTAACCACTCACCTGCCTGATACCCCTAACTTCTCACCTGCCTGCCTGATCACCCCTAACCACTCGCCTGCCTGATCACCCCTAACTGCTCACCTGCCTGCCTGATCACCCCTAACCACTCGCCTGCCTGATCACCCCTAACTGCTCACCTGCCTGCCTGATCACCCCTAACCACTCACCTGCCTGATCACCCCTAACCACTCACCTGCCTGATACCCCTAACTGCTCACCTGCCTGCCTGATCACCCCTAACCACTCACCTGCCTGCCTGATCCCCCCTAACCAGTCACCTGCCTGCCTGATTCCCCCTAACTGCCTCTGCCTCAGCCCCCACCACTGCAGCTTCGTCCAGAATGAAGTCCGGAATGGCGTCCAGAAGGTCGTTCGGCTGCCGGTCTAATTAGCATATGACACTTTCATTATTATTATAAATTTATTTGTTTTTACCCTCATCTGAGGATATTTTTTCCATTGATTTTTTAGAGAGAGTGGAAGAGAGAGGGAGAGACAGAGAGAACCATCGATGTGACAGAAACACATTGGTTGGTTGCCTTCTGCACGCATCCCGACCAGGGCCCGGGCGGGGGAAGAGCCATCCACCAAGGCAAGTGGCCTCGACCGGAATCGAACCCGAGACCCTTTTGGCCCTCAGTCCGACGCTCTATCCACTGAGCCACACCGGCCAGGGCTAGGGCATCATCCTGGATTTCAAACGGATCTAGCGAGTCAGCCGAGCACGGCTCCCGCCGACCTTTGCAACAGCGCGTTGCCGCTTGGTAACAAGCATCCCCAGTCTGCTCCTCACACACTGGGTTCCATGTCGTCTTCCTTGTCGCACCCGCAGAGGGGAAAGTTCCCACAGCAGGGCTGCAGCCACGGCTTCCAGAGGGAGTTGAACACGGACAGCTGCTGGGGGGCCGGGGCGAGCGTGCGACGGTGCGCGCGGACGGCCTCCTCGACTTTCTGGACCACGGAGTCAAATAATGCCTCGTTGTCCGGGCTGAGAGGGTGGCTCTCGGAGGGGTCTCTCGAGATATCGAAGACCAGGGGGGGATCGTGGAAGGTGACGTCTCCCGTGCAGGAGCAGATCCCACGGGCATAGCAGGCGCCGGCTCCCGCCGGCGAAAACGTGGGCGTCACGTAATGAACCTTCCACACGGTGCCACCTGGAAAGAACAGAGACCCATGGGGATGCCGTATTTTTTTAAAAATATATTTTATTGATTTTTTTTACAGAGAGGAAGGGAGAAGGACAGAGAGTTAGAAACATGGATCAGAGAGAAACATCCATCAGCTGCCTCCCGCACACTCCCCACTGGGGATGTGCCCGCAACCAAGGAACATGCCCTTGACCGGAATCGAACCCGGGACCCTTCAGTCTGCAGGCCGAAGCGCTATCCACTGAGCCAAACAGGTCAGGGCAGGCATGCCATATTTTTGATTGTTTTAGCATTTTTTGGAGGGATGGTCACGAATATTCTTTATTAATGTACTCATCCTCCAAACTTACTGAACACCAATTATGTGTAATTTGAGCATTATATTCTTACTAGAGGCCCGGTGCACGAATTCGTGCACCAGTGGGGTCCCTCGTCCTGGCCTGTGGGATGGGGCTGAAACCGGCTCTCTGACATCCCCCGAGGGGTCCAGGATGGCGAGAGGGCACAGGCCAGGCCGAGGGACCCCACTGGTGCACGATCGGGGCCGGGGAGGGGCCGCGGGAGGGCTCCAGGGCGTGTCCGGCCCGTCTCGCTCAGTCCCAATCAGCCGGACCCCAGCAGCAAGCTCACCTACCATTCGGAGCGTCTGCCCCCTGGTGGTCAGTGCACGTCATAGCGAGTCGTTGAGCGGCCTTAGCATATCATGAGCCTATTACGCTTTGATTGGTTGAACGGACAACCAGACAACCGGACACTGAGCATATTAGGCTTTTATTATATAGGATCAGGCCCTATGAAACACAATCTTTTAAATACATCACTTTGCTCAATTTTTTGTGTTTTTCTTTGGTTTAATTTAAATTCTTTATTGTTTAAAGTATTACCTGAATCTCCTTTTTCCCCTACATTGATCTCTCTCCAGCAACTCCAACCCCCCAGCACATGCCCTCACCCCTGTACTGTCTATGTCCATGGGTTATGTTCATATGCATGCATACAAGTCCTTTGGTTGATCTCTTACCCCCTTCTTAAAAATATTTTTTATTGATTTCATTGAGGAAGGGAGAGAGAGAGAGAGAGAGAAACATCAATGATGAGAGAGAATCATGGACGGGCTGCCTCCTGCACTCCCCCTACTGGGAATCGAGCCTGCAACCTGGGCATGTGCCCTGACCAGGAATCGAACTGTTTTTTTGGGGGGTGTATTTTATAATGTATGTTTTTCTTTTTGAAAAGCAATATTTTTAAAAGAGCCAGTGCCCTAGATGGTGTGGCTCAGTGGATAGAGAGTAAGTCCGCAGACTGAGGTATGTGCCCTTTGCCCAATGTTCGCTTCCAGTCAAGGGCATGTACCTCCATTGCAGGCTCAATCCCCAGTCCCATTTGGGTGGGGGGGGTGCGTGCAGGAGGAAACCAATCAATCTGTCTCTCTCACATCGATGTTTCTCTCTCTGTGTCTCTCTCTCTCCCTTCGACCCTCTCTGAAAATTAATGGGAAAAAATATCTTTGGGTGAGGATTACCCAAAAAAAAAAAAAAATTACAGAGGAAGTTAGTGACGGATGAAGAATAAAGTTCACTCCCTGATGCTCATTTTTTTTCAATGTTCTTCATTGTGACCATTTGTATTCTCTCTCTCTCTCTCTCTCTCTCTCTCTCTCTCTCTCTCTCTCTCTCCCTGTATTCATGCATAGAAGCTAATACACACAGAGGAAGACAGACAGACAGACACATACCTCTATAATCTTACTGTAGTATGATGGCTGCTTACATAATTTTCCTAAGGAGAAGAGTCTTCGTAGCTGGGTGTTATTGTGAATATGGCATAGCTCCGCCCCCCTTCTCCCCCCCCCCCCCCCCCGCCGAAGAAACATAACAATGCTCGAATAGTAGGAGTGCCACAAGAGGCAGAAAGGGAGAGAGGGACAGAGAACGAGTTTGAAGAAAAAATGGCGGAAAACTTGCCTGACCTGGTAAAGGGAAAAGTCACACACTTTCAGGAGGCACAGAGAACCCCGAACAAGAAGAACCCAAACAGGCCCAAACATCGTCAAGAAAATGCCAAAAATTGAAGGCAAAGCAATAATCTTGAAGGCACCCCAAGCCAGTTTAGCTCAGTGGATAGAACGTCGGCATGCGGACTCAAGGGTCCCAGGTTCAATTCCGGTCAAGGGCATGTATCTTAGTTGTGGGCACATTCCCAGCGGGGGGTGTGCAGGAGGCAGCTGATCGATGTTTCTCTCTCATCGATGTTTCTGGCTCTCTGTCCCTTTCCCTTCCTCTCTGTAAAAAATCTATAAAATATATTTAAAAATTAAAAAGAGCCCTGACCGGTGTGGCTCAGTCGATATAGCGTCAGCCTGTGGACTGAAGGGTCCCAGGTTCGATTCCGGTCAAGGGCATGTACCTTGGTTGTGGGCACATCTCCGGTGGGGGGCCTGCAGGAGGCAGCTGATCGATGTTTCTCTCTCATCGATGTTTCTAACTCTCTATCCCTCTCCCTTCCTCTCTGTAAAAAATCAATAAAATATATAAAAAAAAATTTAAAAAGAATCTTGAAGGCAGCAGGAGGAAAGCAAACGGTTACATACAAAGGAGCTCCCATAAGGCTGTTCCCTGATTTCTCATCAGAAACTCCACAGGCCAGAAGGGAAAGGAAGGCAAGGATCTGAGACCAAGATGACTCTATCCAGCGGGGCCATCGTTCAAGATTAAAAGGAGAAAGGACTATGTCTCTGTCACACACACATGCGTCTCCCGTCTTGGTACTCACAGTCCTTCTGGTGCCACCTGACGGCGTGCAGGTACACCCCACAGTAGTGGAAGAGGAACTCGTGGTTCGAGTGGCGCACCCGGCCCTCCAGCAATGGCATCAGGTTCTGGCCGTCGATCATTCTGAGGAAAAGGCAGGAGGTGGCGAGGTAGTTGGGGTTTAGTCTCCTGTCTTTTTTAATATAATTTCTTTTTATTTTTAAATATATTTTATTGATTTTTCACAGAGAGGAAGGGAGAGGGATAGAGAGTGAGAAACATCGATGAGAGAGAAAAACATCGATCAGCTGCCTCCTGCACACTCCCCACTGGGGATGTGCCTGCAACCAAGGTACATGCCCTTGGCCGGAATCGAACCCGGGACCCCTCAGTCCACAGGCCGATGCTCTATCCACTGAACCACATTGGTTAGGGCAAGTCTCCTGTCTTATAACAGAAGGCAGAAGAGGAGGGGAAGATGGAGGAGGAAGAGAGAGAGGAAGGAGGAGAAGGAGAAGGAGTTGGAGAAGATGGAGGAGGAGGAGGAGGAGGAAGAGATGGAGGAGATGAGGAGGAGGAAGTGAAAGCTTCACATTTTTTTATAAAATATTGTCAATTAATGAATGCATCAATAATTGGAACAACCAACTCTCTCTCTCTCTCTCTCTCCTCCTTAAATCAGAAAATTAAACCCAGGCCCTGCTGCCATGGCTCAGTGGTTGAGCATCAACCTATGAACCAGGAGGTCAAGGTTCAATTCCCGGTCAGGGCACATACCCAGGGTTGTAAGCTCGATCCCCATTAGGGGGCGTGCAGGAGGCAGTCAATCCACTATTCTCTCTCATCATGGATGTTTCTATCTCTGTCTCCCTCTCCCTTCCTCTCTGAAATCAATAAAAACATGTTTAAAAAAATCAGAATAGCCCTGACTGGTTTGGCTCAGTGGATAGAGCGTCGGCCTGCGGACTGAGGGGTCCTGGGTTCGATTCCGGTCAAGGGCATGTACCTTGGTTGCGGGCACATCCCCAGTGGGGGGTGTGCAGGAGGCAGCTGATCGATGATTCTCTCTCATCGATGTTTCTAGCTCTCTATCCCTCTCCCTTCCTCTCTGTAAAAAATCAATAAAATTTTTTTTAAAAAGAATAAGAACAGCCCTGGTTGGTGTGGCTCAGTGGTCAGAGCATCGGCCTACACACCATCAGTCGGAAATCCTCAGCACTACCTCTGTGCTCGCCAGCTGTGAGCCCAGCTTCTGGCACGCTGACCACCAGGGGGCAGCTCCTGCATTGAGCATCTGCCCCCTGGGGGTCAGTACGTGTGATAGCGACCGGTCGTTCCGCCGTTCGGTCGATTTGCATATTAGCCTTTTATTATATAGGACCCCCCCCCACCATGCAACTCAAATCTATCTCCACAGATTTGGAGTCAGCCGTGTGGTCTCCTACCTGTCCACGGGCAAAATTCCTCCAGCGACGTAAGACAGCGTTGGGTAGATGTCCATGAGGCTGGTGGGCTCGTCAACGACTCTCCCAGCCTCCAGCACGGCCGGCCAGCGGAATATTCCGGGGACGCGGATGCCCCCTTCCCATCCGCCCATCCCTTTCCCTCCTGGAAGCACAGAGGGAAGACGATAAAAATTCAACGCAACCATATCATGGGAGTCTCAAAGGGAAACGAAACCGAGACGAAAAGTTGGCTTGTTGTATTGACGGCGTCGTGCTAGCCTCAAGGACAGTGAGATACAAGTGAACGTGAGCTATGCTTCTTGCCCTCAACAAGTGAAATCTCCTCCGGCCAGTGTGGCCCAGTGGTTGAGCGTTGAACCATGAACCAGGAGGTCAAAGGTTGGATTCCCAGTCAGGGCACATGCCCGGGTTGTTGGCTGGATCCCCGGTATCTATCTAATCTAGTTGTCTCTGTATCTATCTATCATCTATGTATGTCTGTGTGTGTGTCTATGGATCTATCATCTATCTATGTATCAATCTATCATCTACCTGTCTATGTATCTACCATCTATCTTTGTATCAATTTATTATCTATTGTCTATGTATTATGTATGTATCTATCATCTATTCATCATCTATCAATCTATCACCTATCTATCTATCTATCTATCTATCTATCTATCTATCTATCTATCTCTATCACCTATCCATCCACCCATCATCTATCAATCTGTCATCTATCTATATCTATCTATCTATCTATCTATCTATCTATCTATCTATCTATCAATCTATCTATCTATCTATCTATCTATCTATCTATCTATCTATCTATAGATCTCTATCACCTATCCATCCACCCATCATCTATCAATCTGTCATCTATCTATATCTATCTATCTATCTATCTATCTATCTATCTATCTATCTATCTCTATCATCTATCCATCAACCCATCATCTATCTATCTATCAATCTATCTATCTATCTATCTATCTATCTATCATCTATCTATCTATTTATCTATCTATCGATCGATCTCTATCACCTATCCATCCACCCATCATCTATCAATCTATCATCTATCTATCTATATCTATCTATCTATCTATCTATCTATCTATCTATCTATCTATCTATAGATCTCTATCACCTATCCATCCACCCATCATCTATCAATCTGTCATCTATCTATATCTATCTATATATCTATCTATCTATCTATCTATCTATCTATCTATAGATCTCTATCACCTATCCATCCACCCATCATCTATCAATCTGTCATCTATCTATATCTATCTATCTATCTATCTATCTATCTATCTATCTATCTATCTATCTACCTATCATCTATCTCTATCATCTATCTATATCTATCTATCTATCATGTATCTATCTATCTATCTATCTATCTATCTATCTATCTATCTATAATCTATCTATCTTTCTATTTAGTGATTGACAACATGGCATCCATGAAATACAAATATAAAAGAATGAATGGAGAGTAGAAGTATTGAGGAAGAAATCGCTAGGAAATTGTTAAAAATAATAGTAACAATATGAGCCCTAACTGGCTCAGTGGATAGAGCGTCGGCCTGCGGACTGAAGGGTCCCGGGTTCGATTCCGGTCAAGGGCATGTACCTGGGTTGCGGACACATCCCCAGTAGGGGGCGTGCAGGAGGCAGCTGATCGATGTTTCTCTCTCATCGATGTTTCTAACTCTCTATCTCTCTCCCTTCCTCTCTGTAAAAAATCAATAAAATATATTGAAAAAGAAAAAGAAAAAGGAATAAACCTGCTGATGCATCAAGGTGGGAGCAAGCCCAGCCTCACACCCAGCAGCGCCCCAGCCCCTGTGCCTCACCTTTGTAGACCCCGTTCCAGCCGCCCAGCTGTGCCCCGCGGGCCTGCGCCTCCAGGCTGCCCCCGTGGTCCGAGGTGAAGTACACCAGCGTGTGATTGGCCAGGCCCTCCCGGTCCAGGACCTCCAGGATCTTACCTGCCACAGGTGGAGAGAGGAGGCGGTCGGCCGGTCGCCTTTCCGCGGGGACCGGCGCTGTTAATCCTGGGGTCACTGTGATCCGTTAGCGACACATCACAGCGTCATCGGATGAGAGCTTATAATGGACTAGAGGCCCGGTGCATGAAATTCATGCACTGGCATGGGGGAGGGGGGTGTCCCTCAGGCCGGCCTGCCCCCCCTCCAATCCGGGGCCCCTTGGGGGGTGACAAGCTGCCGGTTTACAGATCAGGACTAAAGCGGCATTCGGACATGCCTCTCCCAATCTGGGATTGCTGGCTCCTAACCGCTCACCTGCCTGCCTGCCTAGTCGCCCCTAACTGCCCCCCCCACCAGCCTGGTCGCTCCCAAATGCTCCCCCATCCCGCTGGCCTGGTCACTTCCAACTGCCCCTCTCTGCCAGCCTGGTTGCCCCTAACTGCCCCCCCTGCTAAACTGGTCATCCCCAACTGCCTCCCCCGCTGGCCTGGTCGCCCCTAACTGTCCCTCTCTGCCAGCCTGTCAGCCCCCGCACTGCCCCCCCTGCTGGCCTGCTTACCCCTGACTGTCCTTCTCTGCCAGCCTGTTGGCCCCCAACTGCCCCGCCCCCCGCCAGCCTGGTCACCACTCACTGCCCCCCCCTATTGGCCTGATCACCCCCAACTGCCCTCCCCTGCCAGCCTGATCACCCCTAACTGCCCTCCCCTGCCGGCCTGATCGCCTCCAACTGCCCTCCCCTGCCGGCCTGATCGCCCCCAACTGCCCTCCCCTGCCGGCCTGATCGCCTCCAACTGCCCTCCCCTGCCGGCCTCATCGCCCCCAACTGCCCTCCCCTGCCGGCCTGATCGCCCCTAACTGCTCTCCCCTGCCGGCCTGATCGCCCCCAACTGCCCTCCCCTGCCGGCCTGGTCGCCCCTAACTGCTCTCCCCTGCCGGCCTGATCACCCCTAACTGCCCTCCCCTGGCGGCCTGATCGTCCCCAACTGCCCCCCACTGCCGGTCTGGTCACCCCTCACTGCCCCCCCTGCTGGCCTGATTGCCCCTAACTGTCCCCCCTGCCTGCCTGGTCGCCCCTAACTGCCCTCCCCTGCTGGTCTGATCGCCCCTAACTGTTCCCCCTGCCAGCCTGGTCGCCCCCAACTGCCCCCCACTGCTGGCCTGGTCACCCCTCACTGTCCTCCCCTGCAGGCCTGGTCGTCCCACGTAGCCTGCGGTTAGGTCGTTACCGTTACTGTGACGGCGTCCTGGACAATTTGCATATTCCTCTATCATTAGTATCGACGAGAGGCCCAGTGCACAATATTCATGCACACGGGGGGGGGGCCCTCAGCCCGACCTGCGCCCTCTCACAGTCCGGGAGCCCTTGGGGGATGTCCCCCAGAGACCGGGACTAAGCCGGCCATCGGACGTCCTTAGCTCTGCCGTAGAGATGGGAGAGGCTCCTGCCACCACCACTGCGCTCGCCAGCCATCAGCCCGGCTTCTGGATGAGCACAATGACCACCAGGGGGCAGCTCCCGCATTGAGCGTCTGCCCCCTGGTGGTCAGTGTGCGTCATAGCGACCGGTCGTCCCGCCTTTCGGTCGATTTGCATATTAGCCTTTTATTATATAGGACTGTATGCGATTACGAAATCAATCACTCTTTATTGTCGAGGATTCTAGTAGATATATGACCTACATAACATACACTATACGATATATATGTGTATAGATTATAGGTGGCGCATTATAGATTATAGAATATAGATGGCGCCCTCTCGGAATCCGGGTGCCCTCGGGGGATGTCGGAGAGCCGATTTCGGCCCAATCCCGCAGGCCAGGCCGAGGGACGCCCACCCCCCGCCCCCCGATTGGTACACGAATCCGTGCACCAGGCCTCTAGTAAATAAATAAATACTGTTCCTGTCCGGATGACTTACCCACCATCCAATCCATTTCCTCCACGTTGTCGCCATAGCGACCGTACTTGCTGTGCCCCACAAACGTCTCCTTGGTGATCAGCGGTGTGTGGACGTGCAGAAAAGACACAAACAGGAGGAAGGGTCCCCCCATATTCCTAAGGGTCCAAGGGAAAACTCGGTTATCTTTGCAAAGAGAGGCGATGGGTGGGGAGGGAGGGGGAGGACGGGTGCAGCCGCCGTGGAGAGCTGTACGGAGTTTTCTCCAAATAAAATAAAATATATTAAAAATGGAACGGCCTTAGGACTCCATGATTCCGCTTCTGGGAATATATCCCAAGAAACCAGAAACACCCATCAGAACGGACGTATGCATCCCCTATGTTCATAGCAGCGCCATGGACAAGCGCCGAGATCTGGAAGCAGCCAAAGTGCCCATCCGCGGACAAGTGGATTAAAAAAAAAGCTGTGATCCATCGACACCGTGGAATACTACGCAGCCCTGAAAAAGGAAAGAACTCTTACTATTAGCAACAGCACGGAGGGGCCTGGAGAGCATGATGCTGAACGAAATGAGCCGGTCGGAGAAAGACAAATATCCCATGATCTGACTCGTGTGTGGAATCTAATAAACAACATAAACCAATAAACAAAAATAGAGCCAGAGGAAAAAATATTTCAGACGATGATAGAAGCAATCCTGTTATTGGCAGATGTTTTCATAGTTCCTGCAACTTCTGTGATGTCGTACTCTGTTGGTGTAGTTGGGGTAACACGATTATATTTCAAATATTTCTTTCCTTGAACTATTACTGTGTATGGCGTGTCAGATTCTATTTAAATTTTTTTCTCGAACTATTGTTTATTGCGTGCAACATGATTACACTCAAAATCATTTTTCTTGAGATCTTAATGTTTCTTGCATGTCACATTATATGTAAAATCGTTTTTCTAGAAATATTAATGTTTACTGCCCTGACCGGTGTGGCTCAGTGGATAGACTGTCGGCCCGCAGACTGAAGGGTCCCGGGTTCGATTCCGGTCAAGGGCATGTACCTTGGTTGCGGGCCTAAGCCACCAAGCAGACATCCCCTGAGGGGTCCCAGACTGCGAGAGGGCACAGGCCGGACTGAGGGACCTCCCCCCCCCCCCCGACAAGTGCACAAATTTTTGTGCACCGGGCCTCTAGTCTATATATAATAATAACGAAAAAGAAATAAAAAAAATTTAAAAAAGAATCCTGCCGGATGCTCCCCACCTGCGGACGAAGGCCAGCGCCTCCCTGAGCAGCAGCGACGACACCCGCTCCTCCCTCACGGGCTGCTGCATGATGTCATGGTTCCGCATCAGCACACAGTTCCAGCGCCGGACGAACCCATAGCTGGAGTACCAGCCCAGGAAGAACAGCAGCACCAGGAGGGCCATGGCCAGGACGAGCCCCCAGGGGACCACGAACCAGCGGGCGCAGGTGGGGACGAGCAGCAGGACGGGGACCAGGGCCAGGGCGGCCGTGGTGACGCCCAGCGTGATCCTCAGCCGGCGGTGCAGCTCTGGCGTCTCGGACGGCCGGCAGTCGCTCAGGAGCCCGAAGGGCATCCCGTAGAAGTAGTCGAACCCGTGGTTCAGGGGGTGGTAGCAGTGGTCGCCCCGGGAGGCACAGCTCAGGCCCTGGTGCCACTTTCCTGCGGGAAAACGAAAACGGGGGAGGGGTGTCCATGGGGGCCCTGGCTGGTGTGGCTCAGTGGGTAGAGCGTCGGCCTGCGGACTGAAGGGTCCCGGGTTCGATTCCCGCTCAAGGGCATGTACCTCGGTTGCGGGCACATCCCCAGTAGGGGGCGTGCAGGAGGCGGCTGATCGATGTGTCTCTCTCGTCGATGTTTCTAACTCTCTATCCCTCTCCCTTCCTCTCGGTAAAAAAATCAATAAAATATATATTTTTAAAAATGATGAAGAATAACATGGCAATAAATACGTATCTATCAACAGGGGCGTCTACCCAGCAGGTGTGGCTCAGAGGTTGACCGTCGATTTATGAACCAGGAGGTCAGGGTTCGATTCCCGGTCAGGGGCACAGGCCCGGGTTGCGGGCTCCGTCCCCAGTGGGGGTCGCACGGGAGGCGGCCGATCCACAATTCTCTCTCATCGTTGACGTTTCTATCTCTCTCCCTCTCCCTTCCTCTCTGAAATCAATAAAAAATATATATTAAATTCTTCCCCCATGGACTCCTCTCAACGAGACATTGAGGGGGGCTGGGGGGGATGGGACCAGCCAAATCCCCCATGAAGACTGAGCTACAAGAACAGGGAGTCCAGTCTGTCTGACCCCGTGTCCACGTCCGGAGCTCCCCGGTGCGTACCTATGAGTCCCGTACGATAGCCGCGATCTTGCAGGAGCTTGGCGAACGTCGTCTCGTTGGTGGGGAGACCGCCGGAGCCCCCCAGCCAGACGAGGCCGCGGTGCATGTTGAAGGCCGACGCCATCCCTGGCAGGCACAGAAGCAAAGAACAGCTGACTACCATTGACATGGTTATGAATCACCTGGTGATCGTTTAACTAGAGGCCCCGGTGCACGAATTCGTGCACCAGTGTGGTCCCTCGGCCTGGCCTGCGGAGATCGGGCCGAAACCGGGTCTCGGACGTCCCCCGAGGGGTCCCGGATGGCGAGAGGGCGCAGGCCAGGCCAAGGGACCCCCCGGTGCACGATCGGGGCCAGGGAGGGACACGGGAGGGTTCCAGGGCGTGTCCGGCCCGTCTATCTCAGTCCCGATCAGCCGGACCCCAGCAGCAAGCTCAACTACTGGTTAGAGCATCTGCCCCCTGGTGGTCAGTGCACGTCATAGCAACTGGTCGACCACTCGACTGTCTGCCCCCTGGTGGCCAGTGCACGTCATAGCGACTGGTCGGCCCGTCGACTGTCTGCCCCCTGGTGGTCAGTGCATGTCATAGCGTCTGGTTGATCTGTCGACTGTCTGCCCCCTGGTGGTCAGTGCACGTCATAGCGACTGGTCGGCCAGTCTACTGTCTGCCCCCTGGTGGTCAGTGCACGTCATAGCGACTGGTCGGCCAGTCTAATGTCTGCCCCTGGTGGTCAGTGCACGTCATAGTGACTGATCGACCAGTTGACTGGACCCTGGTGGTCAGTGCACATCATAGCGACTGGTCGACCCGTCGACTGTCTGCCCCCTGGTGGTCAGTGCACGTCATAGCGAGTGGTCGACCGGTCGACTGTCTGCCCCCTGGTGGTCAGTGCACGTCATAGCAAGCAGCTGATTGGCCTTGCTAGTAGCATATCATTAGCATATTACCCTTTGATTGGTTGAATGGCCTCCCAGACAACCAGCCACTTAGCATAAGAGGCTTTTATTATATAGGATGGGAAAGGAAGAGAGGGAAGACTAGATAACAGCGCCTGGGCAGACTGGCTTTGTGGTTGAGCATCCACCTCGGAGCCAGGAGTTCAGGGTTCGATTCCTGGTCAAGGGCACAGGCCCGGGTTGTGGGCTCAATGCCCAGTCGGGGGCGTGCAGGAGGCAGCCGGTCCATGATTCTCTCTCCTCATGCATGTTTCTCTCTCTCTCTCTCCCTCTCCCTTCCTCTCTGAAATCAATAAAAAAAATTAAAAACAATATTGATAAACAAAGGAAATAGTGGTGCAACCGCCATCGATTGAGGGGTGCAGAATTCCAGACCTTCCTCTCTGACTTCAACAGAAACATGTAAAATTTGTTCTTCTTAATCCTCATCCGAGGGCATTTTCCCTTCGATTTTTAGAGAGAACGGAAGAGAGAGGGAGAGAGAGAGAGAAACGTCCATGTGAGAGAGACACATCGATGGGTTTCCTCCTGCACGTGCCCCTCGACCAGGGTCTGGGCCGGGGATGCAGCCTGCAACCGAGCTCCGTGCCCTTGACCAGATTCGAACCCGGGACCCTTTGTTCTGCAGGCCAACGCTCTATCCACTGAGCCACACCAGCCAGGGCTATTAAATTAAAGGAGAAAGAAAGAAAGAGAGAATAGGAAGGGAGGAAGGGAGAGAGAGAGAGAGAGGGCTCAGTATTGCGATTAAATTACCCAGGCTCACCTGATCGAATGGGGTAGCGGCCGGTCAGGAAGGCGGCCCGACTTGGGGTGCACATGGAGGCGGCGGCCAGGTGCTGGGTGAGCATCACTCCCTCCCTGGCCAGGCGGTCGATGTTGGGGGTGCTGCAGGCGGACGGACAGTCAAGTCAGCACGTGGGTTTCTGATTGCCGACCCAACGCAAATCAAAAAATACATAAATATTTTTTAAATAAACAGCCCTGGCCGGTGTGGCTCAGTGGATAGAGCGTCGGCCTGCGGACTGAAGGGTCCCGGGTTCGAATCCGGTCAAGGGCATGTGCCTTGGTTGCGGGCACATCCCCAGTAGGGTGTGTGCAAGAGGCAGCTGGTCGATGTTTCTCTCTCATCATCGATGTTTCTAACTCTCTATCCCTCTCCCTTCCTCTCTGTAAAAAAATCAATAAAATATATTTTTAAAAAAATTATATATATATATATATCTTAACAACAAGGAGACTAAAACTTTTAAGAAATGGTTGCACACTGATATGTGGTGTTATAATTAAGGTATTGATAATCGGAGTTACTATGCATTTCAATGCAAAAGGCCGGCCCATGGGATCTTCTCATAATTCTTTTTTCTTTAAATATATTTTTATTGATTTCAGAGAGGGAGAGAGAGAGTTAGAAACATCGATGAGAGAGAAGCATCGATCAGCTGCCTCCTGCACGCCCCCCACTGGGGATGTGCCCGCAACCAAGGTCCATGCCCTTGACCGGGAATCGAACCCGGGACCCTTCAGTCTGCAGGCCGACGCGCTACCCACTGGTCCACACCGGCCAGGGCAGGAATGAGCCTTAATAAATACTTTTTTTGCGGGCCTTTTGGGGTCCGATGGAAAACCCCAGAACCAGACAGAGCTGAGGGCGTGAGACCCTGTGGGTGGGCCCAACGCCTCTGAAATGCCAGCTTTCAACGGGTTAAAAAAAAGGTGATGTTTGTGTTATATGCTGGTTTTATCTATTTTATTTGCATAATAATAAAATAAAAATTCTGCCCTGACCGGTGTAGTTCAGTGGATAGAGTGTTGGCCTGCGGACTCAAGGGTCCCGGGTTCGAATCCTGTCAAGGGCCTGTGCCTTGGTTGCGGGCACATCCCCAGTGGGGGGCATGCAGGAGGCAGCTGGTCGATATTTCTCTGTCATCATCGATGTTTCTAACTCTCTATTCCTCTCCCTTCCTCTCTAAAAAAATCAATAAAATATATTTTTTTAAAATATTTTTTTGTTTAAGCGCAGGCTGCATAGAAATGCAAAGCGTTGTCCTCGCGCGCCCTCTGCTGGTCGCGTGGAGAAATTGCAGGGAGCTTTCGGGGCGGCCCCAGAGGCACCACGCCCCCAGGTTGCGACCCATCCTTTACCTGACTGTGTTGTTGCCGTAGCAACATAGATCTCCAATCCCCAGGTCATCCGCCATCAACAGGACAATATTGGGCCTCGAATTCCTGGTCACGAACGTCCCCCGGAGGCTCCCAAAGAGGCCACACAGCGACACCCACAGCCGGAGGTTCCTGAAAAGTAATTATTTTGGGGGGAAAAAAAAACAACCCACAAATAACCAAAACAACCAAAAAAAAACACCAAAAAACCCAAAAACCCCCATATCCATTCCTGTTTGCATTTGAAGGAACTTAAGAAAAGGAAGCCCTAGGCCAGGGTGGCTCAGTTGGTTGGGCGACTTTTCTGAGCACCCAGAGGTCCCGGGTTCGATTCCCAGTCGGGACACTTGCCTGGGGTATGTGGGCTGCATTCCCAGTCGGGGGCGGGCAGGAGGCAGCCGGCCCATGATTCTCTGTCATCATGGATCTTTTTTTCAATCTCTCTCCATTTCTCCCTCTGAAAAATCAATAAACAGATATAGGGCCCTGGCCAGTTTAGCTCAGTGGTTAGAGCGTCGGCCCAAAGACCAGAGGTTTGGGGGTTCGATTCCCGGTCAAGGGCACGAACCTGGGTTGCAGGCTTGATCCCTGGCCCTGGTCAGAGTGTTCGCAGGAGGCAACCAATCCGTGGTTCCTTCTCCCATCAATGTCTCTCTCTCTCTCTCTCTCCCCAAACCCTCTCTCCTTTCCGCTCTCTCTAAAAATCAATGGGGAATATTACCCTCCAGTGAGGATTAAATGAATAAATCACTAAATAAGAAGATACCGTTAAAAAATAAAAGTAAAAAATATATGTATTTTTTTACATCTTTGGTCCATGTATTTACACAACGTATCTGTCCTGTGCTCTCTGTATTCCTATGGACCCAATCCATGGGCCTCTTTAAAATTCCTACTGTGGTTCTCGCCGGTGTGGCTCAGTGGATAGAGCGTCCGCCTGCGGAACCGGAGGGTCCCGGGTTCGATTCCCGGCCAAGGGCACACGCGCAGGTTGCACGTTCGATCCCCAGCAGGGGGCGTGCGGGAGGCAGCCGACCCATGGCTTTTCTCTCATCATGGATGTTTCTCTCTCTCTCTTCCTCTCTGAAATCAATAAAGATATATGTTTTAAGTCAAAAATTAAAATCAATGGGAAAAAATACCCTCTGGTGAGGATTACATGAATAAATGAATGAATGAATGCGTGAATAGATAGCATTCTATATAACAATATGATATATTAATTAATTAATAATATAATAATATGCTAGGTGTCCAATCGTACAACCGGTCGACCAGTCGCTATGACGTGCACTGACCACCAGGGGGCAGAAGTCGACTGGTCGACCAATCGCTATGACGTGCACTGACCACCAGGGGGCAGAAGTCAAATGGTCAACCAATTGCTATGACGTGCACTGACCACCAGGGGGCAGACAGTCGACCGGTCGACCAGTCGCTATGACGTGCACTGACCACCAGGGGGCAGAAGTCAAATGGTCAACCAATTGCTATGACATGCACTGACCACCAGGGGGCAGACAGTCGACCGGTCGACCAGCCGCTATGACGTGCACTGACCACCAGGGGGCAGACAGTCGACGGGTCGACCAGTCGCTATGACGTGCACTGACCACCAGGGGGGAGACAGTCAACGGGTCGACCAGCCGCTATGACGTGCACTGACCACCAGGGGCAGACAGTCGACCGGTCGACCAGTCGCTATGACGTGCACTGACCACCAGGGGCAGACAGTCGACCGGTCGACCAGCCGCTATGACGTGCACTGACCACCAGGGGCAGACAGTCGACCGGTCGACCAGTCGCTATGACGTGCACTGACCACCAGGGGCAGACAGTCGACCGGTCGACCAGTCGCTATGACGTGCACTGACCACCAGGGGGCAGACAGTCGACTGGTTTTTATTTTTAACCTTCCGTACGTTCACACAGCAATCCCGTCCTACACTCTCCGTGCTTCTAAACAATTGGCCCATCCGTGGGCGTCCTTAAAATTCCGACCGTGATCCGTGATTTTGGGTCTTCTGTGGCCTCCTCTTTGGAATTCCTCCCGCCTTTGGCCCCAAAAACTCCCACACGGGCAGCTGTTCTTCCCAAGATACACGTCACTTCCTCCCAACAGAAAGCCATCCTCTCCGACCCCGTCCGCTCACACCCGCCCCCGCCGCCCCTGCCGCCTCCACCCCCCTTTTCCATGCCCCGTAGCTCAAGCGGACCCCACGCCAGCCGGGATGGAGAGGACATAGACCGAGACCCCCCCGTCTCCGTCGTTAGAAAGAATGAGAAAGGTTCGGACGCTGTCCACTCACCGGTCACAGGAGGGCTGTGTCATAGCTTCCGATTCTGTTATCTGCCGGAGAAACGGATGAACTCAGTATATCGGCAAAAAAAAATCGTTTTTTTCTCACCCTAGACACTTACAGATCAGCAGATCAATAGCTTAAAACACGGTGGTACGTCTTCACCATGGAATACTACGCAGCCCTGAAAAAGGAGGGGCTCTTACCATTCGCAACAGCACGGAGGGACCTGGAGAGAGTGATGCTGAGTGAAATCAGCCAGTCGGAGAAAGACACATATCCCGTGATCACACTCATTGGTGCAATCTAATCCTATATCATAAAAGCCTAATAGGCTAAGCGTCCAGTCGACCGGTCGGCCGTTCAACCAATCAAAGCGTGATATGCTAATGATATGCTAAGGCTGCTCAACTGCTTGCTATGACGTACACTGACCACCAGGGGGCAGACGCTCCAACTGGTAGGTTGGCTTGCTGCTGGGGTCAGGCCGCAGGGGAGGGCAGTTAGGGGTGATCAGGCCGGCAGGGGAGGGCAGTTAGGGGCGATCAGGCCGGCAGGGGAGGGCAGTTAGGGGCGATCAGGCCGGCAGGGGAGGGCAGTTAGGGGCGATCAGGCCGGCAGGGGAGGGCAGTTAGGGGCGATCAGGCATGCAGGGGAGAGCAGTTAGGGGCGATCAGGCCGGCAGAGGAGGGCAGATAGGGGCGTTCAGGCCGGCAGAGGAGGGCAGTTAGGGGCGATCAGGCAGGCAGGGGAGGGCAGTCGGGGGCGATCAGGCTGGCAGGGGAGGGCCGATAGGGGCGATCAGGCCGGCAGAGGAGGGCAGTTAGGGGCGATCAGGCTGGCAGGGGAGGGCAGTTAGGGGCGATCAGGCCAGGAGGGGAGGGCAGTTAGGGGCAATCAGGCCGGGGGCAGGGCCGGCTGGCCAACTGCCTGTGGGCCCTCCCCCTGCCTGCCCAGCCTAATGGGGCCCCATCAGGGCAAGCCCGGCCCAACTTGAGCTGTGCACCAATTTGTGCACCAGGCCTCCTGGAACCGCGTAAAAATTAAATTAAATAAAACCAGGACGACGATGCCTTCCTCCATCGCCTGGGTCCCTTTGATGACAACACTATCTTAACTCCACCAGCTGGTTTCCCAGCCGCGGGTGGAACCCAAACAGTCATTACGTTTACGGGCCCTTTCATCCCAGGATGCGGGGAGGCCACCGGGGTGCCTGTGTCCCGGGGGCTCCCCGAGTCTCCCCCGGGAAGGGCGGTCCTCACACCGTCTGCCCTGCTGTGACCCGGATCCCGTGGGCCCCAGGAGTGGGCTGTCGCTTCCAGCCACACGGATACACTTAAAGCCAGTCTGCCCGTCGGGGAAGATGAGCTCTCTGTTCAGACCGGTGGCCTCGGAGAGTCCGGCCGGGGAAGGCAGCCGGGGTCACCCCTACGTTTTCCCAGTAGAAGCGACTCTTCGGTCTTCCCTTCCACCCGTAGGAAACGTGCAATTACAGATCAACCCCAAGTGTAGATAATGGATAGATGATAGGAAATAGATAGATAGATAGATAGATAGATAGATAGATAGATAGATAGATAGATAGATAAAGATAGATGATAGATTAGATACATATATAGATAGATATAATATAGAGATGATAGATGATAGCTAGATAGATAGATGTTAGATAGATAGATAGATAGATAGATAGATAGATAGATAGATAAAGGATAGATATGTAGATGACAGATAGATGTGGGATAGATGATAGGTGGGTGGATGGATGGAAGGATAGATGGAAAGATAAATGATATATAAATAAATAGATGATAAATTGATCATGGATATAGATAGATAGATAGATAGATAGATAGATAGATAGAATAGAGGTCCAGTGCATGAAATTCATACACTTGGGGGGTGTCCCTCAGCCCAACCTGCACACACTCCAGTCTGGAACCCCTCAGGGGATGTCCGAATGCCACCAGGGGAGAGCAGTTGGGGGCGATCAGGCCGGCAGGGGAGGGCAGTTAGGGGCAATCAGGCTGGCAGGGGAGGGCAGTTAGGGGCGATCAGGCCGGCAGGGGAGGGCAGTTAGGGGCGATCAGGCCGGCAGGAGAGGGCAGTTAGGGGCGATCAGGCCGGCAGGGGAGGGCAGTTAGGGGCGATCAGGCTGGCAGGGGAGGGCAGTTAGGGGAGATCAGGCCGGCAGGGGAGGGCAGTTAGGGGCAATCAGGCCGGCAGGGGAGAGCAGTTAGGGGCAATCAGGCTGGCAGGGGAGGGCAGTTAGGGGCAATCAGGCCGGCAGGGGAGGGCAGTTAGGGGCAATCAGGCCGGCAGGGGAGAGCAGTTAGGGGCAATCAGGCTGGCAGGGGAGGGCAGTTAGGGGCAATCAGGCTGGCAGGGGAGAGCAGTTAGGGGCAATCAGGCTGGCAGGGGAGGGCAGTTAGGGGCGATCAGGCCGGCAGGGGAGGGCAGTTAGGGGTGATCAGGCCGGCAGGGGGAACAGTTAGGGGCGATCAGGCCAGCAGGGGAGAGCAGTTAGGGGTGATCAGGCCGGCAGGGGAGGGCAGTTAGGGGCGATCAGGCCAGCAGGGGGGAGAAGTTAGGGGCGATCAGGCAGACAGGCACAGTGTTTAAGGGGCGATCACGCGGGCAGGCAGGTGCGCAGTTAGAAGCCAGCAATCCCGGATTGTGAGAGGGACGTCCGACTGCCGGCTTATGCCCGGATCTGGCAGTCGGACACCCCCTGAGGGGTCCCGGATTGGAGAGGGTGCAGGCCGGGCTGAGGGACACCCCCCACCCTGAGCTCAAATTTCATGCACTGGGCCTCTAGACAGTAATAAAACCAATGCTCACCTGTCCACGCTGAACCCCACAGACCACACACGCACACGGAACGGCGAGATGAGACCTTGACTCACTCAAACAAGCTGTCCCTCTGTCCCCGGCATCAGCGAAACTCCGGTCCCGCAGCTCTGAGCTCCCCTCCGCCGCTGATGAAAATTAAACACGTATTAAAGGATCAGGGTCAGGCCAGGCCAGCGTCTGTCAAGCATTTTTTATTAGTTCAACACCACCCACCCGCCCAGCCACCCACCCACTCACCCCGACGGCGGCTACATAGTCATTTAGCGACAAACTCGTCTCCCTCCACGGCCGTCTGGCGAATACGACACCCATACAGGTGTCATTACGGGGATTTCGTAACATGGAGTGGGTTTACTGCCAAGATAATTGTTTGGGGAAGTAACCCAGGCGTACGGGCCAGAAATAGAAGGAAGAACGAAGGAAATACAGGGTTTTCCCCCAAAAAAATGTATGCACATGTTCACAGCTGGGAACTCCCTTCATTTTCACTCCTTTTGGGGTTTCACTGACTTGAAATAATGGGTTTGTTTGTTTTCAGAATCCTCACCTGAGGACATGTTTTCATTGATTTTTAGAGAGAGAAAAAGAGAGAGGGAGAGAGAGAGACACCTCGATGGGGTGCCTCCTGCACGCGCCCCAACCAGGGCCCGGGCCGGGGAGGAGCCTGAAACCGAGGTCCATGCCCTTGACCGGGAATCGAACCCGGGACCCTGGGGTCTGCAGGCCGACACTCTATCCACTGAGCCAAACTGGCTGGGGCCTAGTCATTTATTTTCTTTCTTTTAAAAAAAAAATTTGTTATTGATTTCAGAGAGGAAGGAAGAGGTTCAATGACGATGGCTCATTGTATCCATGTTTGAAGAAGTAGGAAAAGGTATTAAATATATATTTTTTTTATTGATTTCAGAGAGGAAGGGAGAGGGAGGGAGAGAAATATCCTTCAATGAGAGAGAATCATGGACCGGCCGCCTCCTGCACGCCCCCTACTGGGGATGTGCCCGAAACCCGGGCCTGTGCCCTTGACCAGGAATCGAACCCGGGACCCTCTGGTCCGCAGGCCGGCGCTCTACCCACTGAGCCACACCGGCCAGGCCTGAAACAATATTTTTAAACCTTTAGCCACAGGCAATACAAGCTTCCGGGGACTCAGAAAGGGACCGGGACTTAAAGTTCCCCAGATGGGCCCTGGCCGGTGTGGCTCAGTGGATAGAGCGTCGGCCTGCGGACTGAAGGGTCCTGGGTTCGATTCCCGGTCAAGGGCATGTACCTGGGTTGCGGGCACAGACCCAGTGGGGGGCGTGCAGGAGGCAGCTGATCGATGCTTCTCTCTCATCGATGTTTCTGACTCTCCCTCTCCCTTCCTCTCTGTAAAAAATCAATAAAATATATATTTTAAAAAAATAAATAAAAATAAAGTTCCGGATATAGGAGCCAAGCAGGCCCGTTATCAGATAAAAAACCACAGACATTTTGGCAAAAGGCCTTGGGGATTGTGTCCAAACCAGAGGGTGGCCGTTGAGGTTCAAAACAGCTTTTCTAGATAAAAAAAAAAAAATTAGAGAAAAGAAAAGAAAAAATAGGATCCCCTCCCCCCCCCATTGAAGGCATTTTTAAAAAATATATATTTTTTATTGATGTCAGAGAGGAAGGGAGAGGGAGAGAGAATCATGGGTCGGCCGCCTCCCGCACGCCCCCTGCTGGTTGGGGACGGAGCCTGCAACCCGGGCCTGTGCCCTTGAGCAGGAATCGAACCCGGGACCCTCTCGGTCCGCAGGCTGAGGCTCTATCCACTGAGCCACACCGGCCGGGGCTTATGTGTCTTAATTTTTTTTTTTTAATTTTTTTTCATTCGTTTTTCAGTTTAAATTTGTTATTGTTGAAAGTCTATGGGTCAACATGATGAACAAGAATAGAACTAGAGGGGGGGAAACATTTCCGAATATAATAGAAGGAATCCTGCGATTTGCAGATTTTTAATATTTCCTGCAACTTTTGTATTATTACATTTAAGATCACTTTTTTAAAAATAGGAATGTTTATTGCATGTGATATTGTTCCGTTTAGGATCGTTTTTTCTTGAATAATTGGTGTTGATTGCATGTAACATGACTATATTTAAGATCATTTTTCTTGAGATATTCATGTTTAGCGCATGTAACATTATTGTATCTAAAACTGTTTTTCTGGAAGTATTTGTCTAGTGCATGTATTGTTACATTTAAGGTTGTTTTCCTTAAAATAATAATAATATTTATTGCATGTAACATTATTACATTTAATGTCGTTTTTCTTGTGATATTAACGTTTACTGCATGTAACATTATTGTATCTAAAATTGTTTTTCTAGAAATATTTGTTTAGTGCTTGTCTTATTACATTTAAGATCATTTTTTAAAAACATGAATGTTTATTGCATGTAACATTAGTACATTTAAAGTCGTTTCTCTTGAGATATTAATGTTTAGTGCAGGTATGATTATATTTAAGATCGTCTTCCTTAAAACATGAATGCTTATTGCATGTAACATGATTATATTTAAAACCGTTTTTCTTTAAATAAAAAATAAATAAAATTTTAAAAATAAAATATATAAAAAAAAATTCAGTAAGAAACATCCTAAAAAG